AGGAGTCAGGGGCAGAGCAGCTGAGTGTGTGTATGAGTAAGCCTGGAGGTCTTAATGATGTCAGTGCAGTTGTGTGTCCGTGCTCGGCCTGTGTGTGTTTAACGTCCGTGTATACCCTTAACAACTCCTCAAACTAACGAAAAAGCTCAAGTATGTCTCCCTAAGTGATGTCAGCACTCTCCCCACCTAGAAACATATTTGTTTAAAGAACCAGAAGATCCTTCTCTCCCATCTGTAAGGTAAAGCTACACCCAGGAGGATCTTGACTTAAAGACTAAAAATATATTAAAGGACTAAAAGCAAATATTAAACTCAACTCATATCATTTTGTTTTGTTGAGTTTGCAAACCCTCCTTAATGAACCTTGATATGAATGAAATAACTTCCTGGATTCTTTGCTGGTTACTTTTTAACACTTCCTGCCAGGAAATGGTCTACCTTATAAGTATTCAAAAAGGTGATTAATGAGGACAGTAATGAGATTTGGGGTACTGATAAGCAACATTTGTTTGATTTATTTATTTATTTTAAAGATAGGTTAGCTAATTGCTAAGTGACTGCTGGCTGTAGCTTTGTATTAACCAGTAGATGCAGGAGTGCTGGATCAAAGAAAGTACATTACACATGTATCCCCAAATTTTTAGACTATTACTGGTGTGATATTTAACACTCTATTGCTTAGGATCATAGACACAATTCAATTTTTTCAGTATTGTCATTGCTTTTCTTTTTCCAGACATCTCTCCTGCCGAACTGGATGCTCTGTGGAGGGAACCGCCATATACTCTCGGTGGAGCTAATGAACACTTCCCAGGAAATGACATCATGACTCAAGGTGTGTTAGCTTTGTTGCACCAAACAGCCGGATGTTTGGGATCAGTTTGAAATCCTAATATTATTAAGTGCCCGATTAGTTTAGAGTACAAATAAGTCATCAGCATTCATGTGAGAAGGAGCGGTGCTACTTGCGCCGTGTTCAAGCAGAGGAAGTGTTTGGGATATCCTCCCTGCACAATGGAACAAACCAGGGACAGCCCGTATCAACTTTCCAGACAAAAAAAAGCGTGTGCATTCAGCTTGCTGCAGGTTTAGAAATGATTAAGATCCTGTTTACTTAAAGGGCTGGCACAGAAAAAGTGCTAGAGTAATTGGTGATATGTCTAAAGCTGTAATCTACTAAAGTATGTAGCAAATGAGTTTAAACTGAGCATAAAATGAAAAACTTGACAAACAAACACTTCTTACAACATCCGGCTCTGGAAGATAGGATGGGTGGTGTCAGTTGACAGACTACTGTGGATTTTTGTGGATATATCAGGAAGAAAGTCTAGAAACTACTTTTAAATTCACGAGTTCATCCTGTTCAAATACAGACTGCAGCGTGTTGTTTTTGTAAATAGCAAAGAGCGATTGCTGTCTTGTGTCATCTGGTAACATTCCCAGTTTAATCTCCATGCCAGTCTGGAACATGCATTGCAGTAGCAATCTACTCTTAAAGCCCTTGTGTTGTCTGTTTTGATAAAATAGTTTCCACATACAACATCCACGTCTCGATTACACCTCAAATGTGAAATGCTGTTTAGGAAACACTGCCTTAACCAAAAGTACGCTGAGTTTCCTCTTCTCATTTTCTTCTTGTTTAAAATTTAAGATCTAAACTAGATTCAGGAAGTGTTTCATGACTTTGTTTCCTCTTTCAGGTGCGGGTGAAGAGGAGGATGTTGCTATAGTAATATCAGGTGAAGGTACGGTGGAGCCTGACAGTTACTGGAAGAAGAGGAAGGAGGCCTTCCTTAGAGGGAGTACCGTGTCACTGGGAGACAAATTCTCTTCAGGTACACTTTGTGGTGCTTTTACTGGAATTATTTGCCTGGATTGTGTTGCCTTATTACTGGAAAACCTGCTTTCGTATAAGCTTTGCTAAACTAATTTCATACACAGGAGCGTTTCCCATGCATATTATATTTATGCATACTGATGAACAACATTCCCCGTCTGCTAATGTTTTACTCACTCAGCATTTTACCTACATCCATCATTTGCCCTCAGGTTCTTCCTCTCAAATGGATTTAAATGGCCACACTGAGTGTCCAGTAAAAGGCCTAATAGCTTTGTTATTCCTCTGAGGAATCACATTGTGCTCACAAAGCATCTTCCTGAAATATAAGCTCTCAGAGAAAATATTTTACAAAATCTTGCTTTTTTTTTTTTGATGAAAATGATGTGTTTTTATTCCGGTTTCGGTTTTATGTTTTACTTTTTTGGAGATACTCTGAATAGTGGAACAAAAGGATTTAAAATGCTCTCCATATTTATTCCTGGTTAGCTGTAGCTCAGGTAGAGTGGGTGGTGTACTAACTGGAAGGTTGGTGGTTTGATTCCTGGCTGCTCCAATCTGTGCTGTAAAGTATTTTGGGGCAAGATACTGAACCTTAAGTGTTCCAGTGCATTCATCAGAATGCGAATGTGTGTGAATGGGTGAAGGAAACATGTTATATAAAGCGCTTTGAGTACAATATAAGTGAAGTAGAAAAGGCTAATTCTTTATATACCTCATATTTCACTGCAATAACCAATTTAAACTCAGAGCGCATTTTGTCCTCTTGCTAGAAATCGTGCTGCTGTTCACCGGACGACGGCGTTCCAGTGCAGATTCTGACCGGACCCTCCAGGAGGCGCTACGCACACGACTCCGAGTGGTGGAGAGCAACAGCCAGGACGTCATACAGCTCTTCAAAGTGAGTCCCTATGATGAAGACAACACATAAGCTTTCCTACACTTCTAAACTGTCTGATATAATAATGAAAAGTAGTATGTTTTTACCATATAATGAGTTCATATTACGCAGTATTATATACTGTACATGTAATGTGCACTTTATAGAGATGGCTTAATGATTTTTTACTGTAACTTGAGACTTTGTTTCTGCAGGACTTGTCTGCACGTCTGGTCTCTGTCCATGCTGAGAAGGATAGCTTTGTACTCACATTCAAAACTGTAGAGGAAATCTGGAAGTTTTCAACATACCTTGCACTAGGTAGGACTAATAAGCATCCTTCTGGATGACATTTCAATGTCTATATTCTCTCTTTTTCGTCTTTGTTGTGCCATCATCACAGTAATACTTCTGGTTGGCATGAGTATAAGCAGTAGTATTTCATCTGGTGCTGCATGTGCTCTTGCCCAGGCTATGTGGCTCGTTGCTTGGAAAACTTCCTCTGCGATCCGTCATTCTGGCTGGACCCAGAGCTGCTCAGTGACTTGCAGATCAGTGTGACGGTGGATGAGGAACATCTGGCCACACTGTACCTTGGACTTTTACTCCAGGAAGGTCAGTAGTGTTGTAAGCGCAGTGATTCATGTCACTGAAATGTAAGGGTTTGTTTTATCAGGCCTGACATTGCACAGGGATAACAGGTGGAGGGAAAAGGTTAAGCATTTGTAAATAGAAATGAGATCCTGTCAGTAAATCAGTGATCCAAAGTCTATACTTTAGACTCTAAAGCTTCTGCCTGTATTTCAAAATGTTAATCTATTGATTCATAATGAGATTTAAAAAAGAAAGATAAAGTCAAATGAGTTATTGTCAGAGTAATCTTGAACTTAAGTAGTTAATTATAGGATGTTAACTGAGTTCACTGTGATTTGATCCCATTATTTTTAATCCATTTCTTTGTGACCCCAATTAAGACTTAATGAACAGATTGCCTCACACAGCTTAAGTAAAATTGTAGAACAGACCCACCTCATATGTAGTGGAAGCACTTTTGTGCTGCGCGGAAGCTAATTTAGAAACTACGATACACTTTTAATCAAGTCAACATTATAATCACACTTTTATTCATATCAGGTTTATAGAGTTACTGTTAAACCAAAATCCCAAATTTGATCTGCTGTTTGAATGCATTAGACCTGAAGTACAACTTACTGCGCTGTTCTCCTCCATGAATGTGTATCGATTCCCTCCTGCCGGGGCAGCACAGACATCCCTTCTTTCTCTTGAACATATCCTTCAGGCAAAATGCATCATGGGAATATATAATAGGACTGCAGTGCTGGCAAATAGTGGTGAAAATTACATTAACTTAATGGGCCAGGTTATAAAACATCCATCTTTTCCCAGTGACTGAATGAGGGCGCGGCAACTCTGGCAATTTTGCTGATTTTGAACTTAAGTGCAGTAACTTTTACCAGCATCATAAGCAATGACTAAAGACGGGTTTTGTGTTTCTTTGTTTTTCGGGCGGAGGGATAGCGAAGCTGATTCTCTCTACTAAAAATCAGTCTCCTTCCAGGATCCTGCTTTGCTAAGGCGCTGTTCACCAGAGCCGACAATGACGAGGATGAGGAGCAGCTGTCGTTCCAAAAGAATGACCTCTTGGTGGTGAGGGACACGGGGCAGGACGACATGTGGGAGGGCACCTTGCTCACCACAGGAAACCACGGCATGGTGCCAGTCACCGCCATGCAGCCCCTGCCCTACCCGTTCTATCAGTAAGTTGCTATCTGTTCCTCAAATTGACCGCTTCACCTATGTGGAGTACAGTATTTGTTAAATTATACTTCCTGTTTGGTCAGGTGGTTCCTGAAGAAGTACCCAGTCTATGCTGGATGCTCACAAACAGAAAGGGAACCATTTGAGCATCCTATCGGTAAAGCTTTGCTATCACATACAGCATACTGTAACCACAGTGCCTGTTGAAATGTAACTGCGTAACTAACTGATATACCCTCAAATTCCTAATCAGTGCTTTAAAAGTGTTGTTTCTTTTGCCCTTCACCTCATTAAATGCCTCAGTGACTGGCTCCTGTGTGGCAGTAGCTGACTACAGCCCAGTGGGACCAGATGAGCTCCCGCTCAGCCAAGGTGACGTTGTGGAGATCCAGGGTCTGCTGCTCCGAAGCCTGGGTGTTTTCATAGGACGACACACTTCAACTGGATGCTGCGGCTTTGTTCAAATAGCTCACGTCAAGCCTCTCAATACTGCACCCTTGTAAGAAAGTCTTTTTATTTTTTTTGTAAATCCAGGCAGTGGCTTAAACTAGCTGGTCTCATTGTAACATGTGACGCTTCACCTTAAAATGACTTTATCGCGATACCATCTACATTCCTTATGTCTTGTTTACAGTCTTCTGCTAATCTTTTATGAAATCCTATTTCGAGGATCCGCAGTCTGGACGGGGCGGATCAGGTGATGAGGCCCGGATAATCATAATGCTGCCTTTGTTTCCGTTACACAGAAATGGACAATTGGTCTTTCTAACCGAGGAGGAGAAAGCCAGCCTGGCTCAGGTTAACCCTTGCAGTTCTGAGCTGAGCGACAGCGGCCTGCTGGAAAGGCTTTTCTCGACTGACATCAGCTCCGTTTACAGGCTAGGTAAAGGAACGACTGAGAAATGTTGCACTTTTAATTAGCTAGGGGAAAGGGGAGGGATCGTGTCATCGAGGCATAACTGAAATACAAGTCATGTTTGTTTCCTAAATAGCAGCGGCATTTGTAATTTATTCTGGGAAAGATAGTTTCCATCTGTGCTTCCAGCTGGAAAATCAATGCTGAATTGATTTACCTTGTGTGTTTCCAGATAGGCTGGATGAAACCGACTTCATGTACATTAGGAGTCGGCCAAAACATGGTAATGACTTTTTAAGAAGAAACCTGACGTTTACGATGCTGATGCCTTTGAGCCGCTTGAGAAAGGATTTATGATTATACCTGTCATCTTTACAGATCTTAAAGGCCTTACGAGCGCTCGTCAAAGCGTCATGTCAGAGAGAAGTGGAGTCACACCCACCCACCAGTCGTCCCCTCGCCAATCGCTCTCTCGCTCCTCTCCTCATCTGTCCCTCTGTCACTCTCTCAACCCTCTGCCACGAGAGGGAGAGCGCCTATCCTTCACCCTGGATGACACATTCAGAGAACTGGATGAGTTCCAGGAAGATCCTCCTCTCTTCTTGGAAGAGAACAGCTGGGATGGGGAGGAGTCAGAGAGCAGTGACCCTACACTGACTCTACTCAACCAGGAACACTTCCAGGTCTGCCTCATTTATTACATTACTCAAGTCTTTCTTTCTTATCCATGTTGAGCTTCCTGTGTCTGACTTTCATTAGGACATTTGCCCTCCTGTTAACTCGGTTAATGCCTAAAATAACTCTAAAATCCTTTGTTTGTTGTTTTTTTACCCCCAGGATGCTTTCTTGCCCCTGTATGACCTGCAGTACTCCTTCCTGTGGGTGACCTTCAGCGGCAAGACTGAGGACGAGCTGTCAGGTCACCTTGAGAGTGTCAGAGAGTGTGCCAAGAGAATGGGAATGCACTGGGCGCATCGGCGAGCATGCTTTCTCCTGGGGAGACTATGTGCCAGGAAGCTAAAGTTCTCACAGGCATGTTTTTTTTTTCATTTGTATTTACCATAAGTGTGCTTTGTAGGCTGTATGATTACATACTTTAGTGTTTTCTAAACAGAGATTTCAAGGCAAGTTAGCCTGTAACAAGACACCACACTATAGAGCACATTACCATTTACATAATATTGTAGTAATAATAATAATAATGATGATGATAATAATAATAATAATGATGCTTTTTGCAGTGTGGAGAGAGATAAAATGAAGTGCATAAATTATTTGTCGCACCTTTTAAATGAAAATAGGTTTGAAACACCGAATTTTGCTGCAGTTTTACTTGGTGGAACATATTTGTTTTCGATCTACACCAGTCTACAATCTTTTCTCCCCAGGCACGTGTATACTACGAGGAAGCTCTGAGCGTCAGTGTCGACAGCTTCTCTGATGTTCAGCTCCTCGTTGCCCTCTTCACAAACCTCACTGCTATTTACCTGAAGCAACGCATGACTGACAAGCTGCCCCAGACTCTGGAGAAGGCCAGCGCCCTGCTCCTATGCCTCCCCTGTCGTTCCTTCACATCGACCGATGAAGTCGAACTGCTCAAGGTGCTCCTGAGGAGATCGGTGGTGATGGTGGACAAGCACCTGGAGGCTCGTATCTGCTACCTCATGTCCACCCTCTTCCTGCTACTCAAGAAGAGCGATGACGCTCTTCCTTTTGTCGAGCGGCTCCAGTTTCTTTCGCTGACTCTGTCTGCCGCCGACGGGCAACCGATAGCTCCTTTGGATCTCAACTGGCTCCTCAGCTGGCTCTATCACTGCAAATACATGCCTTACTTAGCGCTTGCCTCGCTGAGCCTGGATTCAAGACAGGACCACTCTCTCCACAATGTCTTTCAGAGGATTGAGTTATTTATCAGGAACTCTGTTCGTTTGAACCCCTGCTGGAAGGAAGGAACCTCACTGCTCCCTGCTCAGATCGTAGTTTACCTGCAGCAGACTCTGGCAATAGCCGAGCGCGGGGATGACATGAAGATCCAAAGGGACCTGTGTTTGGGCTTGGCCTCAGTTTACCAGCAGTACGGCGCTCTTGATAAAGCGCTGCACTGTGCTCAACGAGCCGTGGAGAAAGGAGGCCACATCAATGAGGAGGAGGGATTTGAGGCATCTGTGTTGCTTGGGTGGTTGCTGGTGTTGACAGGCCAGGCTGAGAAGGCCCAGAGTGTTCTACAACCACTGCTCACATCACTACAGGTACAGCGACCAGTGATGAACTGGTGAAGAATGACGCACTCGCAGTGAATAATGTCCAAACAAACATGAATGTCATGGGTAATACGTGCCTTCGCATCTTTCTGCAGGGAACAGACAGTCCCACTCAGCGAGGTGTGATCCATAACCTGCTGGCTTTGTGTCTGCGGCGTCAGGGTCGCATCCCAGAGGCAGGATGGCACCTCCACTCTGCCTTGGTAATCTCCAGAGAAAATGGAAACCAAAGGAATCAGGCCCTGGCACTGGCCAACCTGGGGTGTCTGGCGCTGGACGCGGGGGCGTCTTTGATTGCAGAACGCTTCCTGGTCAGGTCAGATCTTTGACATTTTTTGAAAAAATCTGCCACACTTAAGTTCTGACAGATCAAACAAATCTAGCATCTATAGGATTATTTAGTTTTGATATAATCTTATTTTCTCTTTATTTTAGATCCCTGTGCCTTTTTTGGGATCTCTGGGAAAGCCCGACAGATGAGGAGCACGTTCAAACCTACCTGTGGCTGGGGCGTAGCTACAAAGACAGGGGGCGGAGTCAGGACATCAGGGCATGCTATGAAATTGGGTTACTAATTGCACTACATGCCAAAAACTTGCACAGTAAGTACAAGTTCATCCATGAAACTTGCTGTAATGTACCTCCACTGAAAATGGCACCTTTAAGGATGCATTTAGGTTCATGTATTCGTGCGCACTAACTACTAACTGCATGTAAATAGAGGACTTTGTATTAAAATTCAAGCAGGTAGTCTGTCCATTAAGCCCACATGTATTACGTAACTATAAATAGAATATAAAAAAGGAATCAAAATATGATCAGTATGATCAGCTGATTATGTTGATCTGAATTTTTCATAGGTCAGATGGTGGTGGCCAAGGTGCTGAGCCGACTGTATGCTGACATGCTGCTTTATGGTCAGAGCATTGTCTACTATGAGCACTGTGTGTCAGTGTCCAGAGAACTGAAGGATAAGAGACTGGAGGGGGAGTATCTGGAAAAGCTCAGTAGCCTCTACCTCACACTCAACGATGAGAGGTGAAGATTTGCGTCTCATTCCTATGATTCTGTCTCTCTGTAACCTACATTTGTGTCTTAGATTTTATGGGTTTTTTTAATCGTGCACTCTGTGCAGGTCATCTCGTAAATCTCTCGACTACACCAAGCAAAGCTTGAGAATTTCTATCGATCTTGGAAAGAAAGAGGAGGAGTCTGAGACCTGGCTACAGGTCGGACGCATTTATTATCTCGTTTATGAGGATGAGTTGGCTGACATGTATTTACAGGTGAGGAGTGTTGGTGTGTGTACAGTAGTGGGTAGAGTGAACTTTTTCTTTTCAGTGCCTTTTGTTGTTTCATAAATCTGGTATTCCTGGAATGGCAATATTCCACATTCCTGAGCAGCAAACAGTTCCCTTACTAAACAGTTAATGTTTTTACTTATGAAGTATAAAATAAGATCACATGATAAAATTTGATTACTTGTGTCTTTTCGTATTTTTTTTTGTTTGCTTGTTTGTTTTTCAGGCAGCAGTAAAGACAGCCTTAAGGATGAATGACCCTCACTTTGCCATGAGCATCTATGAGGAGGCAGGAGATGTTTACTTTAAAGGTCACAGGAACCGGATGGCTTCACTGCCATTCTACAGGGTAAAAGGATACTTCAAGCGTACTGTTTTTTTTGGGGTTTTTTTTTCAATAACAAACTGTAGAAAGTTTGGATTCTCAGTAAAATTACTTATATTTGCTTTCAGGATGGGAGTCTGCCGTTTGCGAGGAGCATCGATGACATCCACTCAGAGTTTCGATTGTTAAGTAAACTCACAGACCTGCTGATGAATGAAAAGGAGCACGAGGAGGCTCTGCAGTACGCAACACTGGCTGTCCAGGTCGCCAGCAAAACAGGTACAAAGTTGAGCCGTGCCGGAGCCTCATGTCTGTAATAATCCTCTCAGTCCAGGTACAGTGTGGTATTTGTACTTGGCAAGATACTTTATAAAAAACATTGACTTGTTTTTGCTTTAGGAGTGAGTGTGAATGAGAGGAGTGCTTACCATCGATTAGCTACAATTTACTACAGTCTGGAGCAGTATGAGATGGCAGAAAACTACTACCTGAAGTCGCTGTCACTGAGTCCGTCTGTCCTACAGCACCCCATGGAGGCTCGCTACTACACCAAGGTCTACTGCAGGCTGGGAAACTTCACTCTACACAAACTCAAGGTACAAGGGACACAGTTACAGTGTTGCACTGGGAAAGATAGAGAGAGCACATTCCTAAAATGATCCTGTGTGGGGAAGCGACCGCACCGCCCCTTATTTTCTCTCTCATCTCGCTGAAGTCAGCGTTCTCAGAAAGAAATGGAAAAAATCATCCCAGAAAGAAAAAAGTAATAAGAGTGCGTTCTGACTCAGGCATATTTAATATTACTCTGTTAAGAGAAACACACATGCTCACACTGTAATTTGTTTTACACTTTAACCAATGATTTAGTGGCAGTATTAAAAATCTTCTTGTTTTTCTGTATTAAAAATAACTTTCGAGAAATTACTTCTTCTGTTGGCGATGATCGATTTCACTGTCAAAAGCTGATGGCAAATGTAAGCTTTATCTTTCTATGTGTCAAAATGACCTGCTCATGTTTTAATCATTGGCTGAGAAACCGTTACATCGCTTTCAGGTTCATCTCGTGGCGATGTAACCTTCAAATGTGGAAATTATGTGTTTGATTTTGACGAGACCAGTTCTGACCTCTGTTCTGCGTGCTCGCTCTACAGGATGCTTTTGATGCAGTGGGCTACTTCCAGCTGGCTCTGGCAGCAGCACTTGAGGACCAAGCTAACCCTGAGGCTCTGTATGTGGTGTACATGAAGCTGGCCGAGATCCATGGCAACCACATGCCCGATGCTCAGCTGTGCCAAGTTTACAGAGACAGAGCGCAGAGTCTGAAGAGAGTTTTGGCTGGATTGGAAGGCGCTGCTGTTGGACAGGAAAACAAAGACGATGCAGATAGAGAGGCTGTCCAAAATATGGAAAGGAACTTGGATGCTGACGTGGGATATACAGAAAATTTGGTTAAGTCGAGCTCCTCTTTTTATTCTATACCTGAAAGTGTGACGAATGAAGATGACTTGGCTCCAAGAACTCGTAGGATGCACGTGAAATCAGACAACAGATGCACAGACGCTAATCTTAGTTTAGGTGCTAATGGGAAAACCCACCATAACTATCTTCCTGACTCAGTGGATGTGTCTGGCTCTGAGACAGATACCATCGCCAGTCAGTCGTACAGTGAGAGCATTTTCACGGAGTCCTTCGATACAGCCAAGGAGGACATGTCAGACTGCAGCAGCTCTACTGACACTCTACAAACTCAACTGAAGCCACCTGAACATAACATTCCCACTCAAATACCTGTTAATCGCACAAGTGATGTCACAGGAGACGCACAGACCAAAGACGCTGATTCTGATACTCAGGATGAGGAAAACACCCTCACTAATGAGACTCCAGCTCAAACAGAGCCTGGTACTGACCAGCGTGTTGTTATAAACAATGATGAAGCTCTAAGAGAGGACAAAGAGAGAAATGGTTGTGAGACTGGTGGTGTTCACAGTTAACACGCTAACGGAGGCACATAGTCTTTCTCCCTTTACGGATCTTGCCGGCTTTTGCTTCATCAGGTCACATGTGTCTTGCCAGGGAAAAAGCCCCAGGGCACAAACCCAATACTGTAAATCTATGAGACAATTCGCTGATTTAGAGCATGTGCATTCTGTCTTATGCAATCACAGGACACTGTGCTTGCAATATATGTTTTGTACGTTTTTGTATCTCTGGAAGATATGACACAAACATAAAAAAAAGTGTTATTTTCTTTGCTGAGTGTTGATTTTTATGTGGTTGCCCAATCAAATAAGAGAGGAATATGCAGAGTATGTGCACGTTTCCATAAGGAAGAACAGATATAAAACACGAATAATAATTACTGCTCATTTATACTACCAGCCGTTACTGCTATAATGGTTGGTAGTATTAATGATTCTTTGTGGTAGCAT